TTACTGGCCAGTACGTGCAAGACGAACATCCGCACCCTCGAAAGTCTGCAAGGACAAGCACTACGCGTGTGCTTAGGATTGCCGCGATGCACCTCAGCCTACGGGGCAATTATGATCGCAAGAGAGCATCCAACTCAAACATACATCACCACTGACATTTTGGGAGCTTACATAAGACACCTCTGCCGAGTTCCTGGTCACCATGTTGCAGTGTTGCCACTTCAAAGACCACAAGCGATGTTTTCAAAGATTATTTCTGCCCATAGAGAATGCCTTCGTTTTGGCTTCACTCCAGCAACAAGACCAGCGTCACCTCCGCGGTCATGTGGAAATGAGCATCTTACCATACCAAAGGCCACTTTGTTGGTCTCGAGAGTCAGCAAGCAAGAAACGAGACGTTCCCAAACCCTCTATCGGGGTTGGCGCTTATCGAACCGATAGCCGTAACCACAGACGCAGCAACAGCATCTTTACCGGGCAGGAGACTTTCATTTTCAAACTAATAGCTATTTTTATTGAGCCGATAGCTATTTTATCGGGCTGACAGCTGTGCTTTGTCGTTTTTTTTTTTGACCAGGTGGCATCTGTTGAATGCTTGAAAAGTGTTTCAGTTAGTTTTATGCCATGCCATTTCTCACGACTTCTTCGTTAGGAAATAGACAGAGGCCTAATATCTTTATTTCATGCCTATTTTATTTCAAATACACCGTGTTGGAGTGAACGGAGAACACTGTTGCGCTAAATTCGAAAAAAAGTTACTACGGTGCAAAAAGAAGTAGGCAAGTCAGCCTCTTACTCTTTGCAATGGAGTTTTGTCATTGGACATCACGTCCTTCAGTAAATGCCAACCTAGAAAATTTTTTAAAAATTGCTGGAGTGGAAATGATTGCCCAGGAGCGAAGCCTGGCAAGATGGCGGCTGTGGCGGCCCTCTTACTAGGGGCATGATAAGGTATCACCGGTCAGCAATTAAGAACGGAGCGTTTACCTCGCACGCCCAACGAGTTTAATGTGGAAACTTTCCGGGTCACATATAGTGCTCCAAGTGCGTCTTAGTGTTTTCTTAGTGTTACTACTTTTCCTAAGTAAACCTCTAATTGGAGGCAAAGTCTTTAGAGATTTAGTCACTCATACTCGTTTGTGTGTGTTAGTTCGTCAAGAACAACTATCTTTTAATACAGAACTAACGTAGCATTTACATTAACATATGAAAGCCACTTGATCTTTAAGTGCACACTACTAAAAAAGACCATGTTTCCGCCATCTTGGCCGCGGCCAAAACTGGCTTCACTTCTGCTGTCAAGCCATTGCGAGAGCTCCCACTCCAGTAATTTTTCCTTAATCCTCCTTGTTGCAAACTAGGGCTGGAAAACACACTTTTGGAACGCATATAAACACCATAACAAAGCAGCTAAGACACAAATGAAACATTTTGGGTGGGACTAGGTTGGTTGTTTTGATAATGTTTGTTGGTTGGCGCAGTGCTGGTTGAATGAAACTGGCCCACTTCGAAACAGTCGGAGTACTTGACCAATTTTTGATTAGAAACTGCTTCTTTGAACTCATGTTACAATAATGAATGGCCTCATTTTGATTATTACTGTTCTAAAAGTTTAATATACTTAGGCGTGCTGTATGTTCCACAGAAATTTAGCCAGCCTATTATCGACCTCTGCATTTTGCTCTTTTAGAAGAAAAAAAAAACATCTCAAGTATGAGTCCCAAGTTGCCAATACCACAAAAAGCACATGATGGGAAAAGATTGCTTGGATTGGGGAACGTCCACTGCAACATGACTACCGAAATGCGTCTCACCACTGAGGCTCTTCAGAGATTGTTTTGTGACCTTATAGAGCTCCCTCCTATGTGGGGGATCCTGATGTAAAGTTCCTGTGTGCTGTGAAGCTTTTTTAGGGATGAAGCTCCTAAATCCATGCGTCTGTTCATGCATGTCTCTTTGTGACCGATTCGTAACCACCTAGTGATATGACTCGCTCAGCAGGTGGCGCTAGTGTGAGTGACAGTCAGACAGACGAACAGATGCATGGACGGACACATGGACAGGCAGAAGGACGGACGAACAGATGGATGCCCGGACAAACGGACGGACGGACGCATGGACAGACAGACAGACGGACGACTCACGGACGGATGGAAGTGTGCATGGACAGACGGACGGGAACACGGACGGAAGAATGGACGGACGGATAGAAGCACAGACAGACGGGCGAACGGACTGACGCACGGACAGTTAGACACACAGACGAACGCTTTGCCCCACTTATCATCATTGTTTCCGTGGATATGCTGTCATTTTTTTTCTCTTCGCGTTGTGGCTTTTTATATCGTTGTCAAGCTAGTCAAGATGGCGGGAAGTGTTTAGGCTGTGTACCGTAAAAATCTTCAGCAGTAAATCCTTTATATAGTGATAGTTTTTTTTTGTTCTCAATTTTCGTCAAATTGTGTTACCTATTTCTTCTTTATCGTATGTAATTTATTAGGTTGTTGAATAGGATGTCCTAGCAAATTTATGCAAATTCAAAGAACTTCGCTGTGACAGTCCTAACAAGCATGTTAAAGGCCACCCCCAGAAATTTTTCGAGGTCAATGAGCCTCAATAAAATTCGCTAGATACAGCCATAGCCACGACTGTGTAGATCACGCAAACAGCCGGTTATTGCTCTGTGGGGTGAAACGTTGAGGCTCTGATGTGGTCAGCCTCACAATTAAGACACGAATGCTCCTGACACACTACTTCAGAGCCTGAAACTGTCTCAAGGTTTCGCACCGCGGAGCAAAAACTGACTGCTCGCCTGCTCTACACAGACATGGCCGCAGCTGTACGTTCCTCTTCACACTTCCGTAATTTATGCCAAATTACAGGCTTGAGAAATGTGCTGATAAATTGTTTGCAAATGAATTTTACAGATTTTCTCAAAACGCTCACTAGACATGCCAGAATTAATGGCAACACTGTCTGGGAGACATCACCTTTGGCGAGTCATTGGAAGTGACCCAGGTGATGGCATCACCAACTTTGGCTGCTAGAGCATTTACTGTGCTTGCCGCAATGCGACGGCGGTGGTGTTTGGCGCACGCAAAAGCTTCCTGAATTCCTTCCTCCATGGTGCTTGGCTGGCCCTTTGCTGGTATGGCACGCGATTTTCTGTTCCCTGTGGATGGGTGTGCTGCAGGTGATAGTTGGTGTTTCGTTGTGGGTTGCACAAACCACTCACACAAGATTCAGAGAGTATGCTATCCGGGTTGTCCAAGTGGGAGTGCTCCCCATGAGAAGGGGATCAGTGCGATCAAGCGGGACAACTGGTTACCAAGCAAAATGGGACGCGTGTGTCAATCATTTGTCACCACTGTCCAAAAGCTCCGAGACACTGTCAGTCTCAGACATATCCGCTGATGCTCTATGTCCTCTACTCCGAGTGCCTGCTCGTCGCAGCTTTCATTGTTTTTCATACTCCGCGCCGGCGAGAACAGCATCAGAAGAGTGCGTTAACGAAAGTTATGTATATTAACTGCATTGCATCATGACGTTTTGTTTCGATAGTGCCAACATCTGTGCTCTAATGAGAGTGCTGATGTTACGTCAGACTATCAGTTAGTCTTTAAATACCAGAATGGTCGATATGCCTGGTAAGCCCAGTGTGTGCACACTACTGCACTTACAAAAACATGCAGACACACACCATGGTGTTGGCAAGCAATTGTCTTTGTTTCCCGACTGCTTCGCATGATGCTGATTCCGATAAGATGTGGGACCCGCCAAAATATTCTTTACTTTGGAGCTATGGCAGTAAAAAGACGAAATGCTTGAGCTCTTCTGTTTACCAAGACTATGATGTACATGCTTGCTCATATTAAAGCGTTTGAATCTAGTGTAAAGCTCCTTCACCCCATCTTGTCCAACAATGCTGGAAACATTGTCTTCAAGGAAGTAGCAGCAGGATTTTAAGGTGTAAATGGGACATTTTTCATTTCGTTGGCATGCATTGTGTTGTGGTACGTTGAGAGTTGCTGTTTGCCCATGATGTCAAACTGTAAATACGTTATGGAGAAGCTGCCCCCCTCAATGATCAAAAGCAAGAATGTTTATTTTATAAATGCAGTGGTATTAAAAATAAATACAATAAAATTATAATCTATGCAGTTGCATCCTAAACCTCTGATAATGATTACGAGAAAGAACATAGTCAGAAATTTTACCATCTCGTGCTCCTTAACGCACTCCGATATCACACAGCACATAGGCCTCTGCCATTTCCCCTCCCTTGAAATGAGAGTGCTATGACCGGAATCGGACCTGTGACCTTCGAGTCAGCAGCCAAGCACCAGAACTAGAGAATTTTCATGAGCACGTCGCCTTGAGGTTGCGCACACATGAAGGCTCCCTAACTATGACTGCTTAACCGTGGCGAACAAAAACATAGTCTATGCATTCCGAGACATCAGAGACCAACTAGCCCAACTATCAATCTTGCTTCACATCAAAATACTCTTTTTAGTTTGTTGGCACCAGTGTTTCCAGTATTCAGAGTGACAACGCTCCTTTAAAGAGTGCACACCACATGTTGCGCAAAAGTTTGTCACTGTACTAACTAAAGTGAATAAGGCCTAACAGTTCTTAGCTACTCATCAGGGAAGATAACTAGTTAGATTATTCACCGAAGCTACACACATAGAAAAACAGGAAGGCACATATGTGTTAGCATGGCGTGACTAGCACTGAATGAAAAGGAAAAGAGATTTCCACATTCAAATAGTTTGATGAGAAAACGATTCTTAAGACTGGATGATAAGTGCAAGAGATTGTTGTACAGCGTTTAATTTTGGTATATATTTTATCCACTATAGTAAGTCCAACTTCGTTGCGAGTCAGCGCTCTCGTGTGGGCTGTTTTTGTCCCAAGCTTCTTGCTCTGCTTTTTTTGTTACAATGCTACCAAATTCACCGACAAGCATTAACAAATAATAAGAAGGATGCAACAAATATTCGTAATTTCTCTTTATTTCACAAGCACTCACACAGAAGGGACATACAAACACGACTGTCATCGGCTTTCGACCAAACATTTCACGCCCACTTCCGCATACTTACAGAATTATACATACATTTACAGCTAAAGCGTGTCCCTGTACGTATCTGAAAAAGAGGGGCTAAAAAATGGGTGTATACAACACGGCAAGGGATCAAAACTCACTAGTGAGTGCACCACAGTAAACTGCCTAGTTTCACAGAAGCGACTGCAAATTGAAATCACACCTCTGTTCATTTGTAAAAAAAAAGAGTGAATTAACTGGAAGGGGGATACCATTTCTCTGAAAGGTCATAAAACTAAGTAGCAATAACGAAAATGATATCAAGCCAGTTGACTCCAAAATTATCTGTGTTTAAAAAGAATACAGAACGTACTAACCAATGGCAATAAATTAAGTCAGTTATAGTGCCTGATATAAGCCATCCTCCAATGCAAAAAAAGAAAAAAAATATTTAAGCAACAAATCATGAACTGTTAAGTTTCAGCACGAAAAAGGCAAAATAAAAAGGCCTGAAAATCGGAGTCGTGAAAGTTTCTGCATAGAGCTACTATATTTCACATTTGCTCATAATTTTAAAAGGAACCAACGCTGCAATAAAATATGTGTAACGGGTAGCAGGAATAAACATATCTCTTTACATAGACCATAAACCTATCTCTCCTCTATAAACAAACATTGTAATTCTGTAAGAGCTTCAGTAAAAACAAGTTCACCGAGCCTTCAGCAGTTCATTTCACTGGCAAAGCTCAGACATAAAATATCAACTGTTGCAAGCACATTTTTTTTACACTGGTCAGAATGAACAGCGCGGCACTGAGGGGAGGGGGGAAGTGAGAATACAGTGTACAAAATTCGACTCGAAGGTGCGCGCTTTTCTCGACATTTGTATACGAAGCTAGCGAAAAAAGGAGACATCACGCCAAAAGCTAGCATTATCCACAAAAACTTTGTCTAAAAAAGCAAGGCACTTGCTGGTTTGTTCGATTAAAATCCACGAACTTCATCCATGCAAGGGCAATGTGAAAAAAAAAAAAAAAACTGAAATGTCATTGCTCTTTGCATGCCATATGCATAGCAAAATGTAGCCAAAAACATGGCTTCTCAATTCTGCTGCATACAAAAGAACCTGGAAACGTTATATAGCGGTGTATATTTGTTGCCAGGGGATTGCTTGTGCGAATATGCGTTCACAACCGACCCTGGAAACTGGTGTAGCGATTGCCTAAGTGGCAATTAGATGTAAGGCTTTGCCCTCTCGCCACAATTTACGGTGTTCCTCGTGTTAATAGAAGTTGTGCGACTCCACCAAGACAACCTGTTAAGTTCAAACTCAACCCAAGCCACAGCTACGTGCAGAAAAATGCCAGCAAGTGGCTACCCCAAGGCCTGAACACTAATGGCTGCATGAATCGCTTGCGAGGAACTGCGACAATAATGAAAATTTTGGTCAAGAAACCGGGCGTCGTCTGCTCGAGTCATATACTGTGGCATGCGGCCTTGCTTCCTCTGCTGATTGGAAATAGTGGCAATGTATGCTGTTGTATACGTGTACTGTTAACTTGTGCAGATCACGGCAATACGTTAAGTATGCACACCCGAGCTTCCATAACTGTACTCATCTCGATGATATTTGTGTCATTTTCCGCACGCTGGTGTAGTAAAGGAAGAACTGTTCTATTTTCGCAAGAAGTACAGCATTGTAACTAGGAAGTAGGAGACACTGGGACTTCACATTGAACTACATACCTCACTACCTTTCTGTTATAATCACGCTGTTGAAAAAAAAAAAGACAGACATCACACATGAAGTGTTCATGTCTGTCATATGCATTATCTGTAGTTCATTTCTGAAAGTCCCACTCCTAGAATACTTGGCGCAAGAGAAAGGGCAGCAAGTTCTGAGAAACAAGAAATGAAACAAAAAACAATGAACGGGAAATGTATCAACCAAATCAACTGAGCTGGTCTTAAGGAACATGGGCAATTGAAAAATAAGGCAACCAGACGCTCAGGGTCTTCACGCTGGGGTTAGTCGTCTGTGGCAAGGAGGGCCATGATGAATTGGTTGGCACTCTTATCGAAACACTCGGTACGTCTCGAGGAACACAGAGGAACAGACAAAAAAAAAAAAAAACAAGCCAGGAACATCGGTGGTCCAGTTACGGTGACGTGCATCGCACTCAACGACGATCTGCCAGGTCCAGTGGCCTTTCGCCTGCGGCACCGTCACACGTCCACGAGCTGGTCGTCCTTGTACGACGTTGTCCGACCACTGCCAGAGTCAGCCAGCTCAAGCTCGGGGCTCACAGATGACAGTCCAGAGATGGGACTCTCATTCGATCTGTTTTGGAAAGCAGCGAACGCAAGGAGGTTCCAATGAGAACAGTACAAAAGTCAGGCCTGGTAAGCCAGCCATGCTATCCAGATCGAAGTAGACTCCTAATAAACGAATTTTGTAATGATTTCACCCACAGTGCTCACAGGCATTACAGTGAGGGGGAGTCCAATTCAGAGGAAAGGTACTGCAAAGGTTTACCAGTACACATGAAATGAACACGGAAATAATTTACAACTTGCAATCTTTAGACTAGCATGGTTTCACAGGAGCGCATGTATGCTGAAAACTCAAATACAGAAGGTAGCCATAGAGATGAAAAGAAAACGTCATTTAAAGTTATAAAAATGTCTTGTAGCAGTGTGGATCATTCCAGAGAAAATGAACACTTTAGGAGAGGCTGCTTTGGAACTTACTTCGTTTATTTTATAACGTGACTAAAATGAGACAACTGTCTCTAATATTATCGGTTTTGTACTTGAATTGCGAATTCATGTTTATCTCTCAGTAGAGAAAACAGCACGTAAACGGAACATATTTCTCTGTTCCCTTCAGGTCCCACTTAAAGATAACCTACTGCAAAGTGCTATGCGGCCATACAAATGAAACAAGCAAGTATTAAAACATACAACTGCTAACAATTTAGCTAGACTGACGAGTTTGAAACATGTCATCTAGCTAAGTGAACACAACACCAACCCGAACACACGAGCAACGTCAGTACACTGCATACACACACTGACTAAAGGTAATAAAATGTACAAATCATAAAATTTTCAATGTGGGCTTCCAATAATGAAAACTGATGGATTAAAGGACACTAAAAATACTATTTTACACCTATTGCTAAACTGCGATTTCACAATACCAATAACACTATATTTAATGAAGACGATTAGTGAGTGAGAAAATAAAATGTAAAAAAATGTGGGATGGCAAATGCCACTGTGATATTTCCGCACCAAGCCCTGTCAGGTCATAGATTTCATTGGCATATAGAAGGTCATACGTAGTTTTTGATCACGGAGAACTAAGTACATTGTTCTCTGAGAGGGTCACAGACTTCAAATACCAAGTTTCAGAAAATTTCGTAGAGCTAATGTCACCAAATATGAAAAACACACCCTGAAAAAAACCCCGATCTCGCACCTCTATCATTTCAGAGCGAGATTTAAAATTGAAAGCTCGATCTTCAATAATGAAGATAAGATGGTGAAATTACTGACATTATAGTTTTCAGAAAACAATTTAACAATTGAAATTGATTGATTGTGTCACTTCAGCGTCTCTTTCATACCTTGCAAGTGTACTCCTGTGTGCCCAAGGGATATGAGGTGGCACGATGTGATGTGCGGATCAGTTTTTTAGTTTGATGCTTTGTAGAGTTGCATAAACGTTAGCTCACATGAAGCTTGCAATAACCACTTCATCGCTACCACACCTATCGTATAACCAATGAATGCCATGACAATTATATTAGTCATGCTTTTAATTTTTTAGGCTACGCAGGCAAAGAAGCTAATGAATAAGCCAAAAATAATTCAGAATGCTTTTTTCAGACATCTTTACAAACAAAAATGTCTCCAGGGAAATATATCTGAAAAGTGTGATCCTTTTGACAATATACTGAAAATTAGCTTTTTGTTTTACTTATCGCAACATTAGAACAACAGTAATTTCAACAGACGAGTTTAGCATAAAAATTCCTGGATATTTTCATAAATATCTGCTTTTTCTATTAGTGCACTCAGCCAGAAACTACATTACTATCAGGGAGAAATATTTCAATCACTAGGTAGCTATCATAAGCAGTCAAAAATTATGTGTGGCTGTTATGAATTTCTGAACACATGGCATGTGTAAAAGCCGAAATAAATTATAAGCAATGTGTAGTACAGTGGAATCTCGATAATTCGAACTCGAAGGGGCATGAAAATTTGTTTGAATTATAAGAAGTTCGAGTTAATGAAAGCTAAATGAATGGAGGCTTACCATGCAGTGGTGCATGTGCATTGAGCTTACACACAAGGGGAAGTTTTAGAAGACATACATTTATTCAGAAATCACAGGACATCTGTCATTAATTGAAGCAACGGGTGATGTGCATCTGCACACGTTGGCCTTTTAGCGAGTCAATCTTGCACGCAGGTTGCAGAGCATTTCTACTTCGGTACTAGCATTTTCCCGGCAAAAAAGTTACACGCAGCAAAGTCCAGCACCAGCACCCTCTAAAAACGATGACAACAATGACTGCATCTCCGCTACGCAGCCACAGCGTGGCCAGCACATTATGAGAAAGAGGAGCGTTTCCACACGGAGAGAAGCAGATCGGCATTTCAGAGAGAACCAACACTCGATAGTAGCTTTTTTTTCTCTATTCGCGCGTGTCGTTGAAAGCAGAAGGGTCTACGTGGCAGGGATAAGAAAGGGGGAAGCATGGCGCCGGCGCATGAGAGAGAGCCAACACTCCGGGATAGCTTTTGTTTTCCTCTGTCCGTTTATGCTCGGCATTGAAAGGAGAAGGGTCTTTATGTAGCAGGGACGGAAAAGGGAGAAGGTGTGGCACAGGTGTGTCGCAGATCGGCATTTGAGAGAGAGTAAACATTCCACCGCAGCCTTTCCTTTATTATTTTTTTTCCTTCGCGCGCAATGTTGAAGTGTCAAAGGTGCCGCTGCGGGATTGGCTGTGGTGCTGAGAACATTTTCAGAACTGCGGAATATTCGAATTAATCGGCGCAAGTGCTTGCACGTTCGAATTACAGAGCATTTTCACATATTGGAATAGACATAGCTTTGATGAGACCACAGCAAGAGTTCGAATTAACCAGAAGTTCGAATTAGGTGTGTTCGAATTAATAAGATTCGACTGTAGTATCGAAATTGCAAGGATTACATGCAGGATGTTTTCGATGGCACACTTTTAAAATTCAGCAAGACAACAACAGAGCTATTAGAATACACTTCCAAATATCAAGATACAAGTGCTCTACGGTTCGCTGTACTGGTTCAGGAAGTAGACAGCAAGACATGGTTTCTCAACGGAAATCGTGCAAATAATAATTCACAATGACACGAAGTTAGTGCTTTCAAAGCAGGCACTGTGGGAAGGAGAACACACGAGTGGGTGTCGCATAGGAGTCTTCTTGACTCTCAACAAACGGGTAGCTATAAATTTTACATTGTCGGTAGTTGGAAAGAATTACCTGGAATGCACGAGCATGTACAGTTTAATAAATAAAGCTTTCTGCCAGACGATTTGGTGCATACTTGTAAGAAAAATTGCTTTTTTGGGGCCTGTCCATGTCTTCTGCATCCTTGTCTAGCTAGCGTGCAGCCTCTTATGTTGCAAGACGTACAATGCTCAGGGATTTAAAACCAACAATTTGAGCGGAGTGATGACCATACTGTTCGATTCCACCAGATCTTGTCCGTGCCACACTATAGGTGTGAACGCGATTCAAAAACACATTACGGCCTTGATAATAATTTCTAGTGTTTAGTATTCCAAGACCATGATGTGATTATGAAGTACTTCATAGTGTAAAGCAACGGAAATATGAACTGTCTGGTGTTTTCTAACATGTACTGACATCGTACTGTACATGGGTTTCTAGCATTTCATCTTCATCAAAACACGACCGCTGCGGCCAAAATCGAACCCCGGACTTTCAGGTTTGAAGCCGAGCACCGTAACTGGTGCCCCACCGTGGCAGACACCAACAATAACTGTAGCAGTAAAACTGATACGGTTACTTCAAGCAATCCTGGACAACAGTCGTTTCACTAGAAGTTATAAAGTTGCATTTCAATCTGTCAGCACTGAATATTTCCTAAGGGCCCTGCTACATTTTTTTAGCATGGTCAGAAGACGCTGCCAATCGGTAGCAGAGGCTCACAAGAACACGCGAGCCAAATATTATTGCGCAGTAGGTGGCCTAGAATTCACAATAAATTTTCAACGCCGGCTGAAAATTTCATCCTCTTCTCTGGACAAGTCACCAAACAAGCTAAAAAAACGCTCATCCCGGCCATTGGTCGATATGAGCCTGGCATGCTCGGTCGTTATTCTGACTGCCCTAACAGACTGCTACATTTACATGCACGCGCTCAGTTGCACTGAAAAGCTGTGTATTCGAAAAAAGTGCTCAAGGTCACGGGGCGTTCGCGACATATTTGCTTTCCCCATGCCACCTTGCCTTGCTTATCTTCCAGCTCTTTCGTCGGGACAAGAGAAGAAAGAATACAATTGCATTGTGTGACAAATCTTTGTAACACTGCTCGTACCAAAGAGATTCCAAAGGTTTTTGCAAAGGTAAATTCGTGAGACAATAACCTTCTTTAGTGAATCTATTCCATGGCTACCTAAAAAAGTGCTGCAAGGCCCCTTAATCTGCCAAATTTAACACAACAGAAAGAAGTTGTCATTTAGGCATATGAACCATAAAGCTAAATATATTTTCAAGTTCAGTTTCTCGAAATTATTATTTGAGAAAAAAAAATCATGCTAGTCGGTAATGAACTTCTTTTGTCAAGATTGGAAGATCATTTCACAGTTGAGCGCAGGTCGTGTGTGTTTTGTACAGTGCTTGGACTTTCAGGGTACTGCAATTAAGTGATATGCAAACAAGAGGATGGAAAATAGAGGTCGGGTCTACCAATGGCTCTATGCAAATCAGCCCACTCTCAATTGCAAATTGTGCTGATGCTTTCATTCAGGGCAACGAACTGGCTGGAGATTGTTCCGCAACAAAAAGCAAGTGAGGCCGCAGACCCACTGTTGATGGGCAACCTTGCTTCCCATTTCTAGGAGTCCATGAAGCGAGAAAGTTCGCTTGCATAACAAAATTTACTACGGGAATTGTTTTTGGTACATTAGGCCTCAGTAACCCCGAACTGGATACTAATAGGTCACCTTTCATTCACCCGATGTGGTATGAACTTGAAGGGTTTCAATGCACAGTGCTGTGCAGTACAAACACTACAGTAGAATATCACCGAACAGAAATCTCAGAAACATTACTACTGCCTAAACATAACTGCCTCTACTACGATTTGTTTTCTACTTGAATTCTACACTTCCCTTACTCTCTCAGTAAAAAAAAAAAAAAACTTAGACTGAACACATTTTCCTGGTCCCTTCAGGTTTCGTTCAACAAGAGTCCCCAGTGTGTCTGCAATAATGCCCATGCAACTGGTGCACACATCCTTGTTACACTGAAGCCATACCAAGTGGTGTAGAATAGGCAGGTTGCAGACATCCCCTGCCAACATAAGGCATGCAGAGATTGCTGGCACTCGACAGCCCGTTCGAGACAACGAAGCAACAACGGATGAGCGTGCCGTGCTGTTAGGGTTGAGCAGCTCCGGCATGCCTAGAGCAAGCGTACCTACTGAGTGAGACTGCAGCCGAACTGCGGCGGCTGCTGCCGCCAGTCACCGGCAGCGGTGACATGTCCCCCATGGAGGACATGCGTGATTGACTGCCCAGGCCGTGCCTCCGCAACAGAGTGTCAATGTCCACGTCATTGTCACTGTCGGAGTCACTGGAAAAATGAAACAAACAAAACAGAAGCTCAAGCTATGATCACTCCTGGAGAGCATATTTAATTTTTGACTTAAAAGAGCACTTCGTACTTGACCTAATTTAACATCATGATGGTTCATTTCTTTGCTGCGTACTTGCAGACTGGTTCCATTTTGTAAAGTGCAGAACGGTACCTTCTTTAAAACACAACTGATTCTGGAAGGCTGTACATAACCAAGTACAGTGAAACCTGGTTAAACCGTAGTTGGCCAGAGCTCGGAAAAAGTACGTACTAAACGGTAGTACTGCTTAACCGAAATAGCGTCAGGTCGCTCACTTACCTGTCAAAAAAAAGAAACCTTCAAGGAGTGCGGTGAAAGAACAAAAAACCTGCAGTAATTTATTAACTTCGTGTGACACAGTCTGTAATCTTCATTCGACGTCGCGGCGGCCTAGCAGCAGCGACAGCGGCCTCAAACTCACTTATTCTGTGAGCCAGCTTTTCCGCCAGCCCCCTCTTCTCGGCAAATACCCGCATGACGCTGACGCAATGCGCAGCTTCGGCCACTGTCGGACCTGGATCACCCGTGTTGTCGCTTTCCATGTCGTCCTCATCACTATCATTTGGCGACACTTCAACAACCGAGGCAACAATGGATTCGTCGGACATGTCCGGAAATGTCTGCACATCGCTGTCTGCGTCTCTGAAGTCGGGGCAAGGAAATGCCTTCCGTAATGCCCTGCTGCTCCAGCACTTCAGCTAGCAGAGTTTTGCAAGCTTCGTCTACGATGTCCGAAGTCTGGTCAATGGTGTCAGTGGCGCCATCTGCGTCGCCCGCACACACACTGAAGCCAGCACGCTTGAAGCGATTTTGAACTGTCGTTGCTTCAACCTGCCGCCACGAGTATTCATTTCATTTCATTTATTTCATTTATTGTACCCTCAGGGCTTTACAGCATTGCAGAGGGGAGCAGGCACTGACGAACAATGTTAAAGAAAAGAATACATAGACAAGACACTAGAACATTATAAACCCTGGAAGCAACTATTATCAACTGCAACTTGTTATACAGCCAGTAGATTATACAAGAAAACTAACAACAAATGAAACGTTTACATTCCAACACCAAGTATGTTATCGAGCGATGTTTTAAAACTGCAAGGCGAGGTGATGGATGCAACTGATTGTGGGAGGTGGTTCCAATCCTTGCAAGTTTTAGGCAGGACTGAGTGGGACTATGTTGATGTCTTGAAGCGAGGAACAGCAACTTTCTGCGTATGGTCAGTACGAGTTGAAATGTATGATGGTAGGGGTATTAAAAGTGAACGCAGAAGGGAGTTGTTGTAAATTTTGTGGAAGAGTACGAGACGGATACTTACGGCGCGTAGCGAGTAAAGGAATGTTAATAATTGATTTCATGTTTGTTACGCTAGCGATACGGCGATAATCTGATATATAAATCTAACAGGCGCGATTCTGAATGCTCCTAAGTTCGGTTAACTAAAGTGATATTACCAGGGTCCCATATCGATGACGCGTATTCCAAATGCGGAAGAACGTACGTAATGTAAAGAAGCTTTTTTAAATCAACAGGGGCCATGTAAAAGTTTCTTCGCATGAATCCTAGAACCGGTTTGCCTTACATGTGATAGAGTTGATATGAGGTTTCCAAGATAGGTTGTTAGTAATATGGACACAAGGTATTTATAAGAGGGGGAGGGGATCGAGTACGGCGCTGTTAAAGAAATAATGGACATGCGGGTAGTATTACGTGATATGCGCATAGACTTGCACTTCGAACCTATTTAATTCCAATTTGCCATAATTTACACCAGTTAAGCACGTTAGTCAAATCTGTTTGGAGGTAGTGATGTCATTATTATTAGATATTTGGCGATAAATTACACAATCATCCGCGAATAGGCGCATTGTTGAAGAATATGTTAGGCAAGTCGTTATGTAAATTAGGAACAGCAATGGCCCAAGGACAGACCCCTGTGGCACTCCGGAGTGAACTGTGTAGTAGAGAGTCGAATATTAGCCGATACGTATTGGGAGCGGTAGTAAGAAAGCTACAGATCCATGCGAGTAGACGAGTCGAAATTATTAGCCGATACGTATTGGAGCGGTTAGTAAGAAAGCTATGCGAGCACATATGAGTCAATGTTTAATAGGCTTAGTTTATGTAGTAGTAGAGAGTGTGTTATTTCATCAAAGGCTTTGGCTGAAATCAAGAAAGATGCAGTCAGTTATTGTTCCAGAGTCAAGGGATATGTGTAAGTCATTAGTAAAAAGTAGAAGCTGTGTTTCACACGAATACTGTTTTCGGAAGCCATGCTGAGCAGGTGTAAAGAAATCATTGTCTTGAAGAAACTTGATAAGGTGAGAGTAGATGACATGTTCTAAAATTTTACATGATACTGATGTGAGAGAGATGGGACGAAAGTTACCTGGATCGTGGGTTGTTCCGGACTTATGTAAAGGTACCACCCTATTAATTAACCAGTCGTTAGGAAGCACTGCTGTAAGAAGAGACTGTGTGAATATTCGTTCAAGGATTAGAGAAGAATACTCTACCGTGTTTTTCAAGAATTTTGTGGTGATACCATCGCAGCCGCATGAAGATGAAATCTTTAGTTTATTGATGATGGACCGTATTCCTTACGAGCTAATGACAATGATGTCCATTGAGGGAAAATTAAACGGCTTTGCAGGAAGTATGTCATTACTACTAGATGGCTCAGAGAAAGTTTCAGCAAAAGTACGGTTAAGTAAACATGCACACTGATGATCCGGAATTACATTACCTTGGGATATTAAAGACAGGTTGTTATGCTTGTTACCTCGTACAATGATTCCAAAATTGTTTGGGATTTTTTTGCAGCACTGATGGTAAGGTTCTGTTAAAAAAGGTAAATTTAGCTACTTTTAGTTCACTTAAGTAGGTAGCAGCTGAAGATTTGTAAGCTAGTCCATCGAGCCAAAGACTGGGATGTCCTCGCAGCTCTAAACAGCCTTTCTTGCGGTTAGAGAGTCTATTTAAGTGTCGGTTGTACCAGGGAAAATTAGTATTGCAGTACACCTTTCTTACCAGAATATATTTATTTGTTAGTTCCAAAATTTTACTTCTAATTAGGTTCCAGTTATCTTCTGCAGTGCATTCAAAACTTGCAGGGAAAAAAGTATTTAAGAAAGAGCATAATTTAGTATTTATGGTGTTAAAGTCAGCTCTGTTATAATTTCTGATCATTTTAAAACGGTTGGATGAGCGCAAACAGTGGAAACGAATAGAGAAAAATGAATTATGTCGTGATCACTTAACCCAGGCAGCAGTGTTATCGGGGACACAAGATCTCGAGATGACGTCAACACGAGATCTAGAAGTGATGATGTAGTCGAGGTGACACGGTGGGATGCTGAACTAATTGTGATAGCCCAATGTCATTGCAAATCGAAAGAAATTCGGTAGATTCAGCAGGTGATTCGAGCAGGTGAATCGGCCAATCAGGTCGATGGAGAATAATTTGCCACATTCAGTGGCGAGAAGGAATCTGTGCAGCAGATTCTTCTTGTAGAGCTGTTTTACAGCTCGAATGATGCCTTGGTCCAAGGGCTGGGCAATCGCTGTTGTGTTTTGTGGCAGAAAGCGCCAACTTCACAGCTGTCAGGTTGTCCAGGGCGACGTGCGCCGAAGCGTTGTCTAAAATAATAAGAACTCTTCTGTTCTTAGCCGCAAAACGACGATCGATGAGGCGCACGTACTCCTCAAAGAGTTTTACCGTCATCCATGCTTTGGTGTTGCTGCGATAGATGACCCCTGATGGCAACCGGGCGCCTTTGAAACATCTAGGCTTCGCCGACTTTCCAATCACGAGGAGCGAAGTTTTGCCGGTTCCAGTCATGTTTACGCAAAACGCCACAGATATTCTGTCTTTTGCATGCTTGCCGCCAGTGCATGTCTTGCCTTTGAACGCGAGCGTTTTGTCTGGTAGCAGCTAGCCTAAAGAATAGCGCCGATTCATCCATATTAAAGATGTCATCAGGTGCGTAGTCTTCCAAGATGTTCTTAAGCTGACCATTTTGCCACTGTTCCGTGCCATCCACGTCAGCAGCAGCCCCTTCTCCCGAAACAGTCCTCGTGGTAATGCCGTGCCTCGCCTTAAATCTGGCCAGCCAGCCATCGCTGCACACGAAGTTGTCATGGTTGAGCTGTGAGGCAAAAACCAGGGCCTTCTCCATGAGCAGGGGTTCGCTGATAGGCAGATTTTTTGACCGTGCAGCGTTCAGCCACTTCACCAGCACCTCCTCTACATCCAAAAACGTCGAACCGCGTAGCCGGCACCTTTTCGCAGTTGCAGCAGCACTGCAACTTCTCTCTGGAATTCCAAATTCTACACACCGTGGCTAACAGCAGGTCCTTTTTGCGTGCCAGTGCCGATTTTTCGTGCCACTTTGAATAGCACGAATTATGTCCAATTTCTCCTCTATTTTCAGCACTTGATGCTTTTGACCCAGCTTCGGCATGACGCAAGTACAAAGCAGCACAAGCACGAAGCAGCACAAGCACACATGCACAACAGGTGAAAAACGACGCGAGAGCTGTACGACACGGATCAACCAGAGAACACCTATGCACAGCGCCAAAGGAACAAAGAAAGCAAAGCAAGCGCACACCGTGTTTGCATGTTTGTGAAAAGCGCCATCGCGTGGACAACACCAGAAGCCTAGCCAGCTGAGTGCTTCTTGTTGCAGAAAAATCCAAGAGATGGCGCTCACCAACACAGCCGCCATCATCATCAACACAAACAAGCGAGGCGTGTTTCGATCTCTGGGGCTTGCTGTTCTGTCGGAACGCCCAGTGGGGGACGACATGCCACGGCGAGTGCGCAACGTAAATTGGAAAAACTACTTGTTAACCGATACATACGCGATAAGCTGGTACGGCTTATGCGGATACAAAATGCATTATGTTCAATGGCCGCCGAGTCGGGGATTTGACTTCACTACTTTTAAAATGACACTACTGTTTACGCGGGTACGGTTTAATGAGGTTTCACTATACAGTACTGAATTGTTTCTGACCACTTTTTAGCCTTTTCCATACATTTTTCCTTGGCTTCCTCTAATGATAGTTCATGCTATGTGGAAAGTCGTTTTTCATCTTCACTTTCCTTTGTTTCAGGAGTATGAGTGAACTAAGAATATACCATATTTACTCGATTCTACCGCGCCCTCGATTGTAACGCGCACCCGATTTCCACGACGAAAAACAAAACAAAACAAAAAAAAGTAGGACATCGATTGGAACGCGCACCCATTTTTCTCGCTGGCCCGCACGATCACACCACTCGAAAAAACGACTCCTTTCGGGAGCGTCTTCCATTTGAATATGAGGTACGGCGAAGCTTGTGCCCATCTGACGTGTAACAGAGAATTGCCGTCACTGTAGTTCTACCGTGGACCGATGTCAGCACACGAACTTGCTTCGCCCCCTTCTTCTCGACAGTTGTGGTGCCAGGCATGTCGAAGTAAAGAGGCGTCTGATCGGCATTCTCGATTTGGCCAAGCAGGTAACCGTTGTTGTGCCGCAAGTTCAGGACGAACCTCTGAAAACTGTGAAGCTTTTTATCGTACTCCTCCGCAAAACTTTTCGCATATGCCCGTTCCCCTTCGGAGGGGAAATGCCTTTCCTCTTCATAAAGTTTGTTAGCCAGCACCTGCGCGCTTTAAACTGGCTTCGCATTAGACCTTTTTCTAAGGCTAATTTAATTGCATAGCCCGCACTTGGAGCAGTTCTGTCATCACGGGCCGCTGTGCCGCTCGCTGCTCAAGCACATACTCGCCGAGCAGCTCTTTAATTTGCGGACACCGACCTTGCTGTGGTCCACTAAAGCCTTTGCGTGAGGCTTTGCTGTCGACAATCTTCTGCTTTTGTTTCCGCCAGTCCCGCACGCACGTTTCGGGAACTCCGAACGACCGCAATGCCGCCCGATTTACGTCCGTTTCGGCACACGTGATGACTTTTCTTTTAAAAGCGGCACCGTGGTGCACTCGTCGAGCTTTTGGAATCGGCCCTTCCATGCTGTCGATGCTAATGCACACCAAGATGACGAACTCCTCAGCACACGTACGAAGTGCCGCACATAGGAAACACATAGGCAGAAATGGACGACGCGCCATGCCGACGCACGTAGGGGGCGGCCATTTCGAAATGCCAATGGCAATAGAAAGACCGCATTCATTTTTTTTTTTTCGTACTTGATTCTAACGCGCATGCGATTCATGAACTCGCTTAACCGGAAAAAAGGTGCGCGTTAGATTCGAGTAATTACGGTAACTTTATTTGTAGCAATCTAGACGGACGAACCAGTCATAATAGCCATATCGTCGCATCCTTTTTAATGGTCCTCAGTTTCTATCATTTTATCATTTTATTTTTCATGTGTTTGAAAGTTTCATATAAACTGGCTCTCTTCTCAGTTTCTTCTAACTCTTATTCATGAACGACAAATTTTTCCACATTGTAGACGTGCAGATGGTGCTGGCATAGCGATAGCGTATGCCTCTGCTCGGAGAGTCAAAGACTTCCAAAATGTATAAACATTTTTTTCATCTGCATTTTATAAATATAACGCTCAAACATTTAATATATTTGGCTGGTGACATCCCAACAAACGTCCAGTAGGTATTCAGTGTTCTTTGTAGACTGAAGACACAAACGTCTTTTATGTCCCCGGCCATTCTGTGCATACCTATCATTGCCAGATTCTCGAGGCAAATTACACTTGCATCTTGATGCCCAGTGGTAGTAAATTGCACACCCATTTAGTTGTTGACACGGTTAATTAACTGTGTTGATAGCTAAGTAGGATGCCTACCTGTCCTCAGCCACGTCAGTGCCAGAATCCAGGTCTTCCTCGAGTGCTGCCTGCAGGTCTTGGATGCGCTGGCAGGCCAGCTTGAGGTCCTGCTTGGTTCCCTGCAGGTCCATCTCGGCGTTCTCCAGGGACATTTCGAGCTCGTGGCAGCGTTGCTGGGCCTCGGCTTCACGGTGCTGCAGCGTGGTGCAATCCTCGCGCAGCTCCCGCATCTGCCGCTGCAGCTTGCGGCAGCTCTCCAGGCTCTGCTGCTCCTTGTGGATCGCCTGCTCGGACTCCTCTTGCAGCCTGTTGCACTGCTCCTTGAGGCGCTGCACCTGGCTCTGCAATTGAAGAACATGCACAAGTTACATTCGGCATGCATCCTAACAAGACATATGCTGTTCTTGGCCGAGCCTTCCATGTCCGAGGGCCGTCATGAATCGTAAGCGAGATGTGCCACAGAAAGTGCGCCAATCCCACTATGGATATGCCACTCCTCCCTACACTTTCACTACTGCCACAACTCATCACTACACCCACTACTACTTTCACTTCATTCAACTCTCTTCATTCCTACTTCATTCTAAACCTCATTTGAATCGAACTTCACTCTACCAGCTGAAATAAGTGGAGAAGCAAAGGCTTCTTGTAATACAAGAGCTTTAATGTTTCACCAACGTCCACCAAGCGGAGCTGGTCGCGTTTTTTGTTTATTGATCGGTACAGCAATCTGGTACCAGACCTCAGGCGAGGCGAGTTTAGATGAAAAACTGGAAGCATTTAAGGCACATACAAGTTTGCAGCCACTGAGGGCATTCTTCGAACATTTGCAAAAAATTTTACAGAAACACATAAAAAATTGGAAAAACGCTTGAGCTTTGCCTTCAAAAGTAGCTTGTGATAGCATAATGAGGCCTCGTGCGCACCACCTTTTGAACTGTTAGCCTGCTTCGGTTCTCGATGTATGCCTCAACCGTGCTGCAAGGAAACGAACAACTATGCACGTAACATTGGTTGTTTCAAAGTAGCGTTGAATGCCTAGAGCAAGCACAATTGTTGAGTGCCCATTACGTCAGAATTATTCTTTTTGTGAATCAGCAAGTGCCTCCTTCGTATCTATAGGGCAAAAAAAAAAACAAACAAACTTATGCAGCTGTTCACTTTGTTGATGCTTCTGTTGCTGCTGATGATTATATATGTCTCAGTACTTTGTAATGGGTGGACCTTCAAAACGTTTAATCGTTACTCGATCTGCATGTTTGACACCTGGCATGATTCTGCACTTCTGCCACGCAATACAGTTAGACGTCTTTATAAGAGGCATGCTTCGAGCAGCAATTCTTATCTCTTATACGAGATGTCTCTTATAAGCAGGGTAGCTCGTATGCATTTTCTTATCAGCCCGCATTTTACTGTAGGTGCACTGATGTCTCTTATACGCATTTGTCCCTTAATCAGTGTCTCTTATAAAGAAGTTCTACTGTATATGGTGTGTAAAGGGGAATTTTCCACTATCATGAAATTCATATACCGTAATTACTCGAATCTAACACGCACCTTTTTTCCAGTTAAGCGAGTTCATAAATCGCATGCGCGTTAGAATCGAGTACGAAAAAAAAAAAATGAATACGGTCATTCTATTGCCATCAGCATTTCCGAAATGGCCGCCCCCTACGTGCGTCGGCATGGCGCGTCGGTTATTTCTGCCTATGTGTTTCCCATGTGCGGCACTTCATTCGTGTGTTGAAGAGTTCATCATCTTGTAGTGCATTAGCATCAACGGAATAGAAGGGCCGACTCCAAAAACTCGACGAGTACACCACGATGCCGCTTTTAAAATAAAAGTCATCACGTGTGCCGAAACGAACGAAAATTGGGCCGCATCGCAGTCGTTCAGAGTTCCCCAAACGTGCGTGCGGGACTGGCGGAAACAAAAACAGAATATTGTCGACAGCAAAGATTCACGCAAATGCTTCAGTGGACCACAGCAGGGTCGGTTTCCGCAAACTGAAGAGCTGCTCGGCGAGTATGTGATTGAGCAGTGAGCGGCCCGTGACGACAGAACTGCTCCAAGTGCAGGCTATGCAGTTAGCCTTAGAAAAAGGGCTAATGCACAGCCAGTTTAAAGCGAGCAGGAGCTGGTTAATTAACTTTATGAAGAAGAAAGGCTTTTCCCTCCGAAGGCGAACGGGCATATGCCAAAAGTTGCCGGAGGAGTACGAACAAAAGCTTCACAGTTTTCAGAGGTTCGTCCTAAACTTGCAGCACAACAACGGCTACCTGCTTGGGCAAATCGGGAATGCCGATCAGACGTCTCTTTACTTCGACATGCCTGGCACCACAACCGTCGAGAAGGGGGCGAAGCAAGTTCGCGTGCTGACATCGGGTCACGGTAAAACTAGAGTGACGGCAATGCCCCGTTGCACGTCAGATAGGCACAAGCTTCCCCCGTACCTCATATTTAAACGGAAGACGCTCCCGAAAGGAAGTCATTTTCCCGATAGGTGAGATCGTGCAGGCCTATGAGAAAAGTGAGTGCGCGTTGCAATCGATGGCTTACTTTTTTTTTTTTTTTCGTCGTGAAAACCGGGTGCGCGTTACAATCGAGGGCGCGGTAGAATCGAGTAAATACGGTACTCTCTTTTTTTCCAAAAAAGTTTCAACAAATACTGTGGCTCTGTGGTAGAAAACGAGCTTCCACGCACTAAAGTCTGAATTAGATTTTCACTCAGACCTGTAAATATTTATTATTTCATTTGCATCTTCCTCAATTTTTTGGTCATGAACAAGATGACTTTTCGCTCACAAGCAACGACGCCTACAGCGACGTGGGAATTTCAAGCAACGAGCTTTTTAATACTTCACATTAAAATATTGCTGCATTGGCAATATAAAAACACAAAATTCATAACATTTGAGATGTTTCTTTAAACACTGCTAAGGACTTTTTGCATAACAATATTCGTAAGAGATTATTCCTGTTGGTTGTTGTTCTGGAAAAAAGAAAAGAATAATTAAAAAAATAGTTCTCTTGTGCTTAAAGGAATTGCAGAGCGCACCTTTGTGTCATTAGACAACCTGATGAGTAAGCAAAAATAAAGTAAGCCAGCTTTGGCGCAGTTGTGCCGAGCATGAAGGAACTGTAGAACTGGTCAGTCTTCTACTTTTCTCTTCCGTGTTTTTCTTTCTTTCCTGTTCTTTTTACCAGTTAGTTCTGTTTTTTCTCTTTATTTCTATTTATTTCTCTTTTGCTTGCTACATTATTTCTTTCTCTCTTTCTATTTCTTGCTAGCCTCCTCTTCAAATTTTTACGTGGTGTTGCGTTTTCCTAGCCATAGCAGTCGTGTCTACACTTTATAGCTTTATTAAAGCACTTCGCAGAGCACGAGGACTTCACTTTGGCGCACAGCTGGCAATGCTATACGAAGTTCTGCCAGTGTTACGCCGAGCGACAACGGCCGCATATACGACAACCTCGCCCCGTAATGTGCTTCGCACTTAACAATTCAAAGTGTTAACGTGATAATGGTCGTCAGCAAGCTGAAAGAGTAACTTTAATCGGATGAAATTGTCGCTCACAATCACCGGGGGTGATCTGCTGCATCTAAATACCTCAATCACAGATGTAAGGCTGTAAGAAATCAAAATGAACCTAATTATTTTACATTGTGCTACTTCGTGTTCGAGTTTTTAATGTACTTAGAGTGACTGGGTTCCAAATAATGACTATGTTCTAACAACAGCTTAATGTCGGAATTGTAAGTCAGTAAATAAACACCAAATTACAGTCTCCAGAAAAAAAAGCAATCAGAAATGATTTAGCTGCAAATGTCACTGGAGCTATTGATTCAACAAGGGTACTTGTCTGGGTCAAGTTGCAGCCCCAACGAAAGCAAGTCCACTCGACGAAACACCGGCTCTGAATGTCTCAAAGTGTCCGAATCACCTGATTTCCCAAATTAACAAGTGTCGAATAAACAAGCTTTTACTGAAGAGGGATGCATACGATGGCCTAAGCCATGCAAAAATCCTAAAATGATGGGGTTTAGAATACTGGCTCCAGCGACAGCCCTCCCTGTGCAAGGATTTAACATTTTATCAAGCTCTCATCTTCCCCTGAGGTTCTACCTTTCTTGGAAAAGTTAAAGCTGCCATTATGTGTGTTGAGTGAACCTAATGCACCTGCTGTTGAGATTTGATCCAGCAGTTTTTAAAAAGCGGCAACACTCTAACTTGTGTGATAAATAGTGGTTGATTGTTGGGTGATGACCAGCCATATAGCTCATCGTCTTCGTTGATTGAGGTTTTTGTTTGTTGTTTGAGGTCGCCCGCATTATTTCACAAGAACCTTCATACAAGCTTGCCCTTTCAATTGAATAATGGTGATCGCTGCTTGTGCTTCGCTTTCCCAAACACCATCATTTGTCTTTTGATTTCATAATGGTGTTTGGTAGGATGACTGCACAGAGCCCAGCTTTTATGCACCACTGAAACCAGAGAGGTCTGCCTTCATTTTTACGGTTACCATGCATACAAGTTCACAACCTCTGGTCCCAATAGTACAAACTTCATGATTGCCCTGCATAGTACTGAGACAATTCCACATCTTCGTTTGCAAGTTGTTTTCGCCTTGAAGCATGTCCAACATAGTAACTAGCCCAGAGTGCATTTCAATCGACAAAGTGAAAATGGCTCTTTGGCCTTCACACACTCACCTCTAGCCTGCTCTTGGCGGTCTGTTCCAACTCGAGCCTTGACTCCAACTCACGCACCTTGGCCTCCAGGCGGCGCACAGCATGCGAATCTTCTGCCTGGCTGGCCAGGTGGTCCATTTTGGAGCTAAGGTCGTGCACCTGAAGATCACAGATCACAGGCACACAGGAATGAATGAGATGGCTATGAAGGGATACGTAGTAAAAAGTAAAAGGTTAATTTTGGCCGAAGTACTTTCATAGCTTCACATTTCTTTTGGTATGACTGACTGCTGTAAGGATAATGTAAATACACTAGCCTAGTTATTTTTGATGCTGTGACAATAGTCCTGCAAAAAAAATTCAAAAGAGATTCTAGAACTTATCTCAACGAAGCTATGAGACTAGTTTTAACTGTGCCACAAACGAGGCATTGGACCAGAGCTTTCAGTAAAACTAAAACAGCTTATTCTGAAAAAAAAAAAAAAAGAAATTAATGCTGACAAGAGGCATGTACATACTTGTTCTTTGAGGTGGTGCTTCTCAGACTCCAAATCCAGAATCTGCTGTGTCTGTTCACTCATTAACTTCTGGTCGTTTTGCATCTGCAAGAAAACAGGCACTGTCAAAAGAAACATCTTCCATCAGCTTCCATTAGCTAAGCTCATTTTTGAGCCTGAGAAGTGTCTCCCCATACTTCAGCTTATTTATGTGGTTGTTAAAATATTTCTAAAAAATAAAAGCATTTGGCTAGGAGACTGCTTTACCTGACTTTTTTTTTTTTTTCTGATGATGATCTGCATTTCCAAACTTCACGTGGTGCTATTTGCAGGTGAATCTTGCTATCTGTTCAGATAATGTTGTCCACATAATCACAATTCCATATTGTTTATCATAGAGCAGATTTAGATTATTATTTGAAGTTAACATTAAGATACAAACTAAATGCCATGTTTTTCGTGGCCTTAGATATTGTATTTACTCAATTGTAACACGACCATGATTCAACTCGAGGGTACACTATCAAGGAAAAAAAAAATAAAACAGCATAAAGATGTGTGCATCATTGCACTTTCTAAAAAGACAGCTTAAATTCCAGTATTCGTTTATAACGTGAGGTAACAAAAATCTGAAAAAAAAACAACTTTTGTTACATCTGAGTAAATATGGCAATTGCAGAAATATTTACTGCAACAAGGCAGGGTAGACTGATCTTTTATTTCTTGCTCTGAAAATTCGAGAATTAAAGAATCAAATTCTGTGCTGTAAACAAGCACTGGCCTTGAAATACAGCCTGCACGCTCACCTGCTGCACGGCAGCTTTGTACTTTTTCATGAGCTCAGCCTGCTCTTCTTCCATCTCCTCCAGCTGCACCTGCAGGGCTCCCTTCTCTCGCGCTAGCTGAAGGCACCTGGTTTCCGCCTGCAAGTGGGGTGAATCAACAAGAATTCTTTCGCAGTTCTTTCCAAACTGCATAAGCTTGAGTTATGCTGCAACAGAGAAAGGAAGCGAGGAAGAAGCACCCACCTCATTCTTGGTGCGCAGAACTTCCTCCAGCTGCGACTGCACTTCCTCCAGTTCAGGCCTCCGCCCCCTGACGAGCCTTGATGGCCGCACTCTTGGCAAACTCGGCATCTTCCAACTGCAATAGAGAGAGCAGAGACATCAGCTAAAGCGCTGAACAGCATGGCTTGCAGAGTCATGGTGTAAGCTGTTGCTGTAGATACTGAAAAATGGGATGCATCGAAAATACATTTCTTGCTGAAAAGGGGGGCCCTGCAACACTTTCCAGCATGGCGAGAAAACGCTGTCAATGAGTGGTTGAGGCTCTTGAGAACACTAGAGCGGAACATTATAGCGCAGAACACGGCTTGGAGTTCCAACCATTCTCAAATGTCAGCTAGAAATTCTTTCATCTTGCCTCGACAAATGATGCCATAAACCCAAAGGACTGCGCCACATACCCAAAGTTCAAGGCCATTGCCTGGTTTCACCATTGCGGGCTGCATACTTATTGTGGTCACCACAGGAAACAACAGTGCATGTACAGTTGCACTGACCGGTAGGCATGAGCACAGCTGCAGGCAGTGTAAAAAGTTCTACACCTGTATCTGGACTGTATCCCGTGCACAAGTTACGTCCCATGAAATGCCAAACTTCCAGAAATTTTCATGAACCAATTTAAATGCTGCATAGACAACCCAGTATATGTACCTGAAACAGTGAATAAATATTCATGACTAGTTTCCAAAAATGTTGAAATGCTTAACCTGTATGCATTAACCACAAGGTATGAATTCACATCTTGATTAAAGCTGGCATGTATGTACGAGGTTTTATCGCACTTTGAACTTTTTATAATGCTAGGATCTTGAAAAAAAGCTGCAATGACTGCGGTACCTGGTTCTTGAGTTGCCTGAGCATGGAACGTGCTGCCTGTCCGTTGCGTGCAGAGTCCAGCATGACCTGTGCATCCTGCAGGAGTGCCCGTGTGCGACGCAGGTCCCTGCGCAGGCGCCTCTCGACCTGGGGGTCCCGGGGCGGCGGTCGCTCGCTCAGCTCGGCCAGCCGCCGCTCGAGCTCCTGGCGTTGCCGCTGCAGGCACTGCCGCTCCTCCTGCTCAGACTCCAGCAAGGCCTCCATGTTGCGCAGCTGCGTAGGACGAATATGAAATTAGTATAGCTCACAGGAGATGTCTTTGCAGTGAAGCGTGACTGATCTGTGATTTCTGTGTCAGGCCTATCGGTGTCATGACTTAAAAGAGAATGATTGTGCACAAACTGTCTTGTACACTTCCATCTTCTACTGCTTCTCCCTTGACAAAAGTACGTATGAGCAGGTACAAGAAAGAAAAGTGAATATGACACTTGCTCGGTATAAAGGCCGTGCATAACGATTAAAAAAATGCCGATGAATGTGCACCCAACCACTATCAAAAAATCAGGTTTCATACAGTCAGTCACAGCCTGTCTGTATCTACTTTGTAACGCTACATGATGCAATGACGTTTCTGAGTAATCATACTTTTCTGCCGGAAAAATCTCATTGCTCCTAGCACATTCACAGCAGTGATTATTCAGAATGCTTAGCAAATAAACTTCTGCATGGTTCAGTTGAGCATAAAGTCGTGAGACATCTACAGCTGCGCTACTGCTCGCCCACCTAGACACCTTCGAAACGAACCTTTTTGGTAGCGGCGGCGCGTGCCTCGTCAGCCTCTTCATCCCTTTGCGACAGCTCGCGCCGGTGCTCCTGGCGGGCCTTCTCGAGGGCCATCTCGAGCCGCAGCTTGGACTGCTCCAGCATGGTCACCTGGGCGGCCAAGTCCTCTAGCTCCTCCTCCTGGTCTCGGCTTTTGCGCTCAAGCTCCTGCTTGGCACGCTTCAGCTTCGCCACCTGTCACATTAGGTCATACCACAGTGTCCTTCACAACCGCCGGTGAGCATCCAAAACCACCGCGCCTACATCATTCAGGGCACGTCACACAGACATCCGCGCTTACCTGAACTACATATTTCTGTTCCCAGGGACGAGTAATCTTGCGATGCATAATGTGGCTCATACTGTGTACACAACTTCTAATGAACTAAATTCGTGAAAGTATTTCAAGAACAGTTGAAAACACTAAAATTACAAATTAATGAAACAATCTCTTCTAATTTCATCGAATTGCTTAACTGAAAAATATGGAATCCACCCATTTGCATTTTTGTTGCAAGCATTTAAGGCAGCACTTTCAGAAAGGCCACTTCACAGAGGCACATTACGAAAAAATTCGTTTAAGTAAAAAAAAAATTCACATTTCTGCAATAAGTGAGCGTCATTCCTACCGACAGGAATACCCTGCCTGTCATTTGTGTTGTAGCGAATGTTTGCTTAGTAATTAAATTAACGAGTACAATCTCACTTGCTCATGAACAAACATGAAGAGATGTCATTTATTAAACACGAACATGAGCCTCGACAGCACTGGTGTGATGAACAGCAGAAGAAAAGCTGAGCAAAGACTTGGTGACGCTTGGTTGATTTTGCACTTGACAGTTGCTCTGCCCACAATGTCCTCACTTTTGAGACTGCTTGCCCACACTTTTTCTCACCTCGCCCACACTTTTTACTGGCAGATTACATGGACACATGGCCTAGCTTACGTGCTCAAATGTGTGAACACTCATGTCCCTCTTCCTGAATCCTAGGGTTTGTTTAACGGAAGGAGTGCAACTTAAGTAATCATTTTTCGTAGCTAGACACTACTTTTAATTATAAGCAACAGACAATGAACCCAAAAAAAGCATAAGGAACATATATTTAGCAATATAAATGTGAAGGAATAAAATTCTATTTGTTGCCGACAGCAACCGAGTCTGCAAACTTTGAATAACACGTCCGGTGCTGTACCGATTGACCTAAAATTGCCATTAAGAATATCCTAGGAAAACTTGGGAGTCCTAATGCCACTCCCAGCCATGAAAACAGGTGTGCAGCACTCTTCTGCTTTTGTCTGCAGTTATATAACATGTGATTCTTTCATAAACCAGCACCTGACCTCGCACACTATGTGAAAGCATGAAGTCTTGCAGACTGAAACTCTTGCTATGAATGAATGAAATAAATGCAATTTAAGGGCTCATCTTCTTCTGTTAGCCAATACTTTATTTGACACAGAAATCAATCCAAACAAAGTATAAGAGATGCTACTTCGGAGTGAGGTGCCCGTTCATCCACTTTCATTTTTTCATGCTTGTATCATAATTCCTAAAAAATAACATGCCTTATACTTTTTTGGCTTGACTGCCTGTTGGTTCTCATTAAACCAGGTTTTTCTTAGGTTTTATTGCATGCCCTTAAAACCTGGGTGCCGTGAGAACAGGCAAGGCATGACTTTCAGAGCATGTGGACCCAGATAAAAGTTTGTACACCCCTTTCTGGAAAGAGCGAGAATTCATTCCGGATTCATCAACGATTAACTACTACAAGGAGAAAGTGAGGAATGGCGCATCTACCTCTTCCTCTGCATGCGTGCTGAAGCTGAGCTCGTCAAGTTCCCGGCGCAGCGATTTGACGCGGTCATGCTGCGCATCGAGCTCGGTGCGGCAGCACATGAGCTGCTGCTCCAGTGCCTGCTTCTCGGCACACAGCAGGTCTCGCTCACGCTGCAGCTTCTCGCGCTGCTGGCGCTCCTGCTTCAGGCCATCCGACGCCTGGCCCAGCTCACTGTCGAACCTGGAGAGGAAAGAAAAATGAGCACATTTCTTCTAGCATGACAATGATTACGACTGTTTGACGAGGAAAAATAAATGAACTTTTACAAAACATGTACTCACAACATAAGCTACAAGCTCAAGAGACAAAAAAAAAAGAACCATGAACACAACAAAAGCCAGGGTGAAGTGACTACGTAGGTAGGCTAGCGAAACCATTTGTGTGCTGAAAGCACATTACTGCTGCATAAATGTATTTATAATCCACTGATACATTATGTATATCACTAGTAAATGCATGCTACTCGAAAAACGCAAGCGAAAATCCTACTGTGCGTAGGTCATCAGCTTTTAATACCAAAACTAGTGCCGTTAGGCAACTAGCATGACTTTTCTTGAAATTATCAACTTGTGTCTAATCAATAACAACACAAAAAATAAATCGCCAGAGAAGATGTCTGAATGATTGCAATGTGACTGTTCGGTAGGTATGCTGGTGAAAACAGTGATGCTTCCTCCCACCACAGGAGGTACAGTTGAAATAGTGTGGGTGTCTGTCAGCTATTACCGTAATTACTCGAATCTAACGCGCACCTTTTTTCCGGTTAAGCGAGTTCATAAATCGCATGCGCGTTAGAATCAAGTACGAACAAAAAAATTACGGTCAATCTATTGCCATCGGCAAATCCAAAATGGCCGCCCCCTACGTGCGTCGGCATGGCGGGTCGACCATTTCTGCCTATGTGTTTCCCATGTGCGGCACTTCGTACGTGTGCAGAGGAGTTCGTCATCGAGTAGTGCATTAGCATCGACGGCGTGGAAGGGCCGACTCCAAAAACTCGAATGCACCACGATGCCGCTTTTAAAATAAAAGTCATCGCATGTGCAGAAACGGACGAAAATCGGGCCGCATCGCGGTCGTTCGGAGTTCCCGAAACGTACGTGCGGGACCGGCAGAAACAAAAGCAGAAGATTGTCGACAGCAAAGCTTCACGCAAAGGCTTCAGTGGACCACAGCAGGGTCGCTTTCTGCAAATTAAAGAGCTGCGCGGCGAGTATGTGCTTGAGCAGCGAGCGGCACAGCGGTCCGTGACGACAGAACTGCTCAAAGTGCGGGCTATGCAATTAGTCTAAGAAAAAGGTCTAATGCGGAGCCAGCTTAAAGCGAGCAGGTACTGGCTAACTAACTTTATGAAGAGGAAAGGCTTTTCCCTCCGAAAAAGAACATGCATATGCGCAAAGTTTTGCGGAGGAGTACGATGAAAAGCTTCACAGTTTTCAGAGGTTCGTCCTAAACTTGCGGCGGAACAACGGCTACCTGCTTGGGCAAATCGGGAATGCCGATCAGATGCCTCTTTTCTTCGACATGCCTGGCACCACAACCGTCGAGAAGAAGGGCGTGAAGCAAGTTCGCGTGCTGACATCGGTCCACGGTAAAACTACAGTGACAGCAATGCTCTGTTACACGTCAGATGGGTACAAGCTTCGCCCGTACCTCATATTTAAATGGAAGACGCTCCCGAAAGGAGTGGTGTGATCGTGCGGGCCAGCGAGAAAAATGGGTGCGCGTTGCAATCGATGTCTTACGTTTTTTTTTTTTTTCGCAGTAGAAATCGGGTGCGCGTTACAATCGAGGGCGCGGTAGGATCGAATAAATACGGTATATCTGTTTCTACAAGTTATTTGTTAATGGTTCTGTGATTCTCGGCTGATCTTACTGCTACTCCAATTCTATTCTTTTTCTGAGGTGTCTTCCCTTGTTCTGTAATCAGCTTCCCATTTACACACGCGGCTCTGCAAAACGAGCACGAGAGAGTGTCTGTGTTGTGTTGCACGCACTTTCTCTGCTTCTTCTCGAGCTCGGCGTTGCGCGCCATGTGCTCCTCCACCAGCAGCTTGAGGTCCTGCAGTTCGGCGCTGAGCTTCTGCGCCTTGCGCTTCCACTGGTTCACAGCCTGGCGCCCTTCATCCAGGTCCGCCAGGGCCTCGGTGAGCCTCTTCTCGGTCGCTTTCCTCGCCATCATCTGCTTCTCCAGGTCGTCCTCATGCTGCTGGCTCATCTGGCGCTTGTTCATCTCGGCCTCACGCAGAGCACGCTCATACTTCTGCTTGTAGATGGACCCTGTACAGAGGGGAGAAGTATATTGTACAGTACAATCTACTGTTAAAGAGAACACTCAAAAGAAGCCGTTTCATACTGATGGCTCCCTAACTGCAAGTGGACATGGTTCTTGCGCGGCTCTAGCCTGTAAAAGGGAGCCAGGACCTTCAAGCACTTTTTCTATATTTTTTTCTTTCTTTCGCTCTAAGCTTTTCCGAGACAGCCAAACCTGAATAGGCGCTGCACGCAAATGTTTACTTCAATACTGGACCCGTCCTTACATATTCCAAGGAGAAAACCGAAGTGGAGATACTGAGCCATTTATATGTGCGCTACAGAGTAATAATGCGCAAGCAAAATAATTTCTCTGACTATGTATGGCATTAATTCACAGGTCGTCGCATGGTTCGCTGATTATTTGACATTACCCCAGCCGACTGTAATCGTTAATGGTGCCAGTTCGTGCGCATCGCAGGTAACATCGGGCGTCCCCCAAGGGTCGGTACTGGGACCACTTTTATTTCTGATTTACGCCAACGACATAACTGAGGGCATGGCATCCCACACACGGTTGTTCGCAGACGACAATGTTTTGTATAGGAAAATTACGGATTCGTGGGACAAAGCGTTCATTCAGAGAGACTTGGCCAAAATCAGTGATTGGTGTACACGATGGCACATGCAGTTGAACTTGAATAAGACAGCTTACATGGAGTTTACTCATAAGAAATTACAGCCTCAAACATCGTACAGAATTAACAATGTCATTATAAGTAAGGTTAATGAATACAAATACTCAGGAGTGTACATATCGTCTAACTTAAATTGGCAGCGACAAGTTGGCTATGTAACAAGCAAGGCCGGGAAAGCGCTTGGGTTCCTTCGCCGTAATGTGAAGAACTTTAATATGTAGACTAAAGAATTGCTTTATAAAACAAATGAGCGTTCCATTCTTGACTATGCGTGTGTCGTTTGGGACTCCTCAACAGTATCTGACACAGAAAAACTTGAAAGGGTACAGAACTTGGCCACTCGATTTGTTTGTGTACGTTACGACAGAAAGTTCAGTCCCACGCTCGCAAAATAATTATTTCAATGGGATACACTAGATTGTCGAGGACACAGACTTCGTTTGAAGTTTCTTCACAACATTTTTCATTCAAAAGTTGGCATTGATAGGCATCTTTACATAAAGGCACCTAATTACTATTCCCATAGGGTTGACCATGAGAATAAGGTATTAGAATTTCCCTGCAAAATTCATTGCTTTAGCGAGTCTTTGTTTCCTAGAACAATACGGGACTGGAATCAATTAGACAAGTCTGTCGCAACTATATCGTCCAATGACATATTTTTTACACTGCTAAAATAATTCTTCTTGTATAAGAGTTGCTGTACACTCGTGTTACTGCTTGTGATAACTGCTATATGCTTGTACTTGTATTTTCCTTTATTGTGCATTCTTGTTCATGTAATGATGCTGTTATCACTATAATACACTTCATTGTTAAATCATTAATATATTCTTGTTTACTTGCACTCTCGTTTTTTGTTTTGTTTGCACAATTCCACAGTCACTACACCTGTCCCAAGAAGATGCTTGGTGAGCTAGAAAATACGCAAACATAAAATGCTGATGGCAGCTCCACCTTGAAATCGGCACACCAAATACCATGACATCACACATGTTGACAGCATCTACAAGCTCGCATGTAGATGGAGATCCAAACAAACACTACCTAGTTCCTGAAAAATCTACTTAGGTATTGCAGAAGTTGCTTTGACTGAAAACTGTAGAAGTCTAAAATGCTAACAAAAGGCCTGTGCTAAACATAAATGAAGAGATTGAAAAAAAAAAAAAAACGCATGTAAGCTTAAGTTTAGCACAATAGCACTGTGAGGACTGGCAACAACAACAACAAAACAAGAACAAAAATTGCACCTTAAGCTTTTTTTAAGAGACGTAACAATGAACTATGCCAGATCAAAAATATTATCAAAAGCTTTAACAGGGTATTTATAGGAAGGGGCTCCTAATTTTTACAGGTTGAGCTGCTTCAGGCATGAATTATAATGCACTGTTTGTAAATGTGTCCCATTTGTATAGCTCAATTACATGGCACCCAACATTACACTCTAAGCAAGAAAATGAAGGAAACAGTTGGTTTGTGTATTATAGGAATTAATATAATTAGCACGCGAATTAAATATTTAATCATTCTGAAATTATTAACCTTCAGTTCTTGTAAAACAGAGTCAAATATTAAGCGGAAAAGAGATGTCAAGAAGGTGCACGACGCTGCCCTAGTTCACATGTCCTACAGAGCAGTTAGCTGAAGGTGCTCATGGTAACCGAGTTTTCAGCGATTAAATAGTACGTCACGGTTGCCGCCAGCCGCAATCGTGCATTTCCGGTGCTTACCCTCAAAGACGTCGCCGCACGGCGCCGCGACAGTGGCCCCTTCAGATTCTGAGTATGCTTCACACCATAACATCTTGCAATGCGATTGATTGATTGATTGATTGATTGATTGATTGATATGTGGGGTTTAACGTCCCAAAACCACCATACGATTATGAGAGACGCCGTAGTGGAGGGCTCCGGAAATTTCGACCACCTGGGGTTCTTTAACGTGCACCCTAATCTGGGCACACGGGCCTACATTTCCACCTCCATCGGAAATGCAGCCGCCGCAGCAGGGATTCAAACCCGCGACCTGCGGGTCAGCAGCCGAGTACCTTAGCCACTAGACCACCACGGCGGGGCCATCTTGCAATGCGAAAAAGCCAACTTTCGAAATTCGCCACTGCAGCGAAAAGATAGACTGATCGAAAGCTGTAGGCTCGAGCCTGCGAAATGATCGGCGAGGCAGCGGTGGTGGCTTCACTTGATGTCGTTTATAACATGAAATTCTAGTAAAGAGTCTGAAAAATCGTACGCCGAACAGTTTCAGCGCCCGAAATTTAAGCCGTTCCTTTTCGCATTGACACTATCGGGTTGGCGGCGCCGCCGCGAAAGTGTCCGAATTTTGAGCATGTCCAAAAGATCCGCTGTTGACTGTATATATCAAAGTTTGCCTCTATTCTCGAGACCATGCATTTCTATTTTTTCAAAAGTCCTTGCGAATATTTGCCACGGCAGTAAAACTGCAACCACCCCGCCGCGGTTGTCTAGTGGCTGAGGTACTCGACTACGACCCGCAGGTGGCGGGATCTAATCCCAGCTGCGGCGGCTGCATTTTTGATGGAAGCGAAAATGCTGTAGGCCCGTGTGCTCAGATGTGGGTTCACGTTAAAGAACCCCAGGTGGTCTGAATTTCCGGAGCCCTTCACTAAGGCGTCTCTCATAGTCATATGGTGGTTTTGGGACGTTAAACCACACATATCAATCATATTAAAACCGCAACCACTAGCATCGGATAACGAGTTACATCACTACGAACATTAAGTTCCTCACAATGGTTCGCATGGCGCGAAAAAAGTGCTCTGGTTGGTCACAATGATGTAGGCAGAAATTTCTTTTAGAGGTCCTTGATCTAAAGAAGCGGCTGGGCAGGCTGGTGCCGTCAAGTGTCATTTTATATGCGAAGCAGCTTATGGCCGAGCTCAATCATGTGCGCGCGGCCACCCTTATATACTGCGCATGCGCGACAGCTTTCCCAAGCACTGCCAGAAGGGGCTCACGCGCTAGCGCGTTTCTGCTTGTGTGAGCGGCTGTTTCCTCTCCCCCTTACACTCTTTCAGCGATGACGTGATGGCGTCGGAGAACGAGATTATGCAGATACGCGATGAACACACCTGCTCCTACGTGGCGTGGCGATCAAGACGCGTGGTGAGCTCCAACAAGTGTTCCGGACGAGTAACCGCAACAGAAACAATACAGTGAATACATGGTGTGCTCCGCCTGGAAGGTCGCGTTAACGTTGGGCAAGGTGCACGTGATGAACGACCCATGCGCTGCTTTGCATATATGCTACTCATGGTTCCCTTTAGGGAGAGATGGCGTAATATTTTATGCCACACGGCAGAAGTAACGTTGATCGATATGTGGGGTTTAACCTCCCAAAACCAGCATATGATTATGAGAGACGCTATACTGAAGGGCTCCGGAAATTTCGACCACCTGGGGTTCTTTAACGTGCACCCAAATCTGAGCACACGGGCCTACAACATTTCCGCTTCCATCGGAAATGCAGCCGCCGCAGCCGGGATTCGATCCCGCGACCTGCGGGTCAGCAGCCGAGTACCTTAGCCAAGAGGTAACCTTAGGGTTATATCACGTGCCCGGTTATATCACTGCCTACACTGCTGGTTGAACGCGGTTAAAAAAAAAAACTGCATTGTTCCGAAAGCAAAGCTCCATTTGCTTTCGGAACAAGACGAGACCATTCGTTCGCGAAAATTACTGCATGTTGAGACAGACAGCCGCTTTTGCAGTAGAAACAGCTACTGCACTTACAATTGCACAAGACCACACAAAACTGCTTCTCGGCGTCGCCGGCGCTCTAGGCGCAAACACGCACTGAAGGATGCATGGATGGATCCCGTGAGCATTAATTTTTTTTGAACGCGGAGCTCACATATGTGTGCGCCACCAAGCACAAAGAAAAAAAATATCTTTTTTTCCGGTTTAATTACGGCATAATGCATAGCCTACTTCAATTAAATCAATCTTAATATAGAAAAAAAAGTACAAGGTTCACCGCAAGCGTGAAGCAATGAATGCGACAGCAACAAATTGTAATGTTATATTAAGGGTGGCTGCTCTTCTGGATCCTATTTCACGCACCTCTGAATAACGCTCGTGTAAAGAGGACACGGCCGCTCCAGGCACACTTTCGAAGCTCGTGGAAGGGTATACGAGCCGCCCGTTGATGGTGGCCAAGATAGCGCGCGCGACAGCGATGGCCACCGCACTCATAAAATCGAAGGTCACTGTTGCTGTTCGAGCCCCGCCCCCCGCCGTTTTTCTGGCGTCTTTTGATGTTCTTTAAAGACGGCAACGCGTCGCCTTTCTGCTTGAGCATTAGGCGGCTGGTCTAAGAGGCGGGGGATCTTGCCACACGTTGCGTTCAGCCGCTTCAGTCACCCGTGCGCGTGCGCTTTTACCCGCGGTTAGAACGTACGATGCACTACGGTATAAAGTCAATTTGGACTTCATACGGAACATAACGGCGATGATGATGATGAAAAACATTTACTATAAAAGAGAGAGGTACGGGGCCAAAGCATGACCCCGCTACATGGTCGGCGTCCTCAGTCCGGAACACCGCATGACGAGGCCCCTACTCGCGCCCGTCTCACCAGAGCCCGTTGAGACTCTAGTGATGAGCAGTTGAGGAGGGCAGTCTCCCATGCCTCTCGGGAAGGGGTAGGGGAAGGGGGTAGGTGAGGATTTTTCGGACATGCCCATACCATGTGGAAGATATCACACGTCTCCCCACAGTGGGCACCGCCCATCTGTGTTCGCATCGAAATGTTTTAGGATTGCAGGACAGAGTAGAGTACCTGTCTGCAGGCGCCTTAGAGTTCGCTCTTCCGCCTTACTCAGCCCCTTTGCAGGAGCCGGGTAAAGGCGGTGAGTGTCGCGATAATAGGTCAGAATTTCTTTGAACCGCAGCAGCGGTGTATTGGCCTCCGAGTCATAAGAGCCAAGGTGAGGAGCCCGGTGGGTAAGCGCTCGGGCGGCCGCGTCAGCGGCCTCATTACCTCGTAGGCCCTGATGGCCAGGAGCCCATACGATGCGTTTCGGGGCTGGATCAGCGAGAGCCCATTTTAGAATTTGGCTGGCTAGCGGGGATATCTCTCCTACCAAGTAATGAGTACATGCTTTCCGGGAGTCCGTGATGATAACTTTCGAGTTGGGGTCCGCAGCAGCAAGCGCTATCGCAACTTCCTCAGCGCGCTCTGGATTTTGTGCTCGGAACGAGAGCCCATTGACATGCTTTTCCCGGCGAACTACACAGGCCGTGTAAAATTCCGTGGGCGAAGGACCTGCTATATCTACGTAGAATACACCAGGTCGGGAGCCATGTTGCCTAACATAACGTCGAGGGAAATTGCCAGAACCCGTCGTGACTTTCCATACACTTGCTATTGCAACAAAAGGACCTTAAAAAAAAAAGTGCAACTTGCCCGAAGACCCGTGCAGTGTTCTTTATGTGCCTTCGTGCAACTTGCGTTTATTTATTTATTTTCATGAACCGCAACCAACACGGCTAACAGGCAGTTATGCTAAAGGGATTCTGCAACACCTCTTCAAGTGGCCACGGCATGGATTCACTATAAGAGCTCATTGCCTGACTAATTCACCACAGGAAAAATTTTTATACTCTGTCGAGTAGGAGCAGATTTACAAATGACTGTCGCGCGCTGCATTCGCATTCTCTCGTCCCGACGAAAGCGCTGCAAGCTAGCAGCGAGGGATGGCACGGGCTACAAAAACATGTCACGCGCAAGCCTCGTGAGCTTAAGCATTCTTCTTCTTTGAATGCACAGGATTTCTAGTGCGATCGCGCGCGCCCGCAAGGGCAAGTCACGGCATTAGAGTGTACTATAGCGGCGATCCTTGCAATGGCCGAACGCACCACGTTGAAATCAGCCAATGTCTGACAGGAGCGCTGCGACAAGTGATTTTTGAGCTCCTTCCGTCATTTGTAGAGAGAACAGAAAGCAGTGTTTAGCCGACTCAGAAGTTATTGCGAATTCCAGGCCGCGTGCTGCGCTATAATATTTGGCTCGCGTTTTGTCAGGAGCATCTACTACCGATCGGAAGTGTTTTCTGACCATGAGCAAAAGTGTTGCAGGGCCCCCTCAAATTCACAGTTTAGCTCTCTGATCCTTACGGCAGCACCACATTGTTCTTCGCGCTACTAAACTTATTTTTGTTATTTCACTCTAGTTTTCTTTTTGCCACCAATATATAACTGTGTCTTAATTATTTCTATCACAGGCGTTTTCACCTTTACATTGCTGTTCCTAAAACCCAAGGCCTCAGTAGGCTCGCGTTCAAACCTAGGCGGATATCTCCACATTCAATCAGAACATATGTTCCGTAGTTTTCTGGACTTCCTCATGGGATTCAGCCAGTGCCTCTGACGGTGTCGGTACAGAAGACTCGCCTCGAGCCACTGTTCAATCTTGCAAATGTGCCGCACTAGTGCCTTGCTGAAGCTTGAAGGTTTAATTCACAGAACAAGACGTGTGTAGGGGTTTGTACCGGTCTAACAGTACGAATTCTCTTTTGAACCTGATCCCACAAGTGCTGACAGGGCAGCAAAATGTTAGTCATTTCCCGGAGAAGTGTACAGACGTGAGTGTCGGCCAGCGTTGTGATACACATTTGTCAGAGTATGATTGTTAAGTGAGAGCGAATATGATATAGAGAAAGCGCTGCGCATATCTCTCGTTGTTTTTCCGTCTACACACTATTTGTGCATGATGCTCTCGTTGGTTCTGCGTAAACAAATTCAGCAGACGGTGGATAACTGTTGCTGGAAAAGCTTTGCCAAGAGGGGTGCCAGCGAATTTCTTCGCATTGAATATCGCGGGCAGACGAACCTCGAAACCGAGCGGTATTGAAAACGTATAAACATGACGTCCTTTTCGACGATACTTCACCGATATCGTAAATCTGTCAATAGTAAAAGCCTCAAAGTTCTGTGCCAGGCGTCGGCCGCAGCACGTGGCCCAGTGCGGACACGCAAAGCGGAAGCGGTGACCTTCCCAGCGCAACAGACACGACGCGCGTTTCTCTCGCACGAACGCATTCGTCAACGACACGGGAAATGTACGTGAGAACCACGAACTGTGAAGAAAATAGCGGTGCCCGCGACATATACACATGGCGGCAGATCTTCCGTGGTTCAAAAACGGGAAGCACCCAAGCGCGCGAGGAAAGGCGACGGCGAAGCATAACCCGACCGTGGCGGCACGTGTTAAAACCGCCCGAGAAGAAATGCGCCACACGTCGGCGCAAACAAAACAGCGGTCGTCAATCCGCAGTCGCCTGAGGCTTTTGCCAGCTGGCTCCGCGCAGCTTGTCACACCGATGCCGACGACGGCGCCGAAGGTGTGTACAGAGATTACGAAAGATCGTTCCCGACTTGGAACACCCCGCGTTACCAAGCACGAACTCCCCAGCGTAACGGCAATACGGGAGGCGCGAACGCGCGCTCAAACCAACAGTCGGGTATCACCTTCGCGTGGGTGTTGACCCCGCTTCTCTACAAATTAGCGCGACTGCCTGTGCACACTGCATATAAACAGCGCAGTGACTAAGTCGTTGCGCCGCTTTTGTTGATACAATACAAGCGGCCACTTCGTGCACGCTGTTACGATACAGAGGAGAACAGAACGGGCGCTCTGAGAGAACTTTGAGAAAGAGAGAAGTGGTCCTTGCCTCTGCTGAGAAGGTCTATTCAATAATGTATGCGCGTAGTACATATATACACACACGCGTCGTAGAGCATCACTCACCGGCGGCCGCGGCGTCGTCCTCGTCCGAGACCTCGCCGTTGAGGTCGGCCGAGCGCAGCATGCGGCTCTCCATGGCCTCCATCTCCATGCGGTCCTTCTGCTGCTGGAGCTGCGAACAGCGCGTCTGCACGAAACACAAGTTCGATTCCGATATCAGTCAAACGCACGGCAGCCTAATACCGTGCAGCTGTGAAATGGGAAATGTACGCTACGCAGATAGCCTGCACAGTGGATTAAAAAAAAAAAAAGAGGAAGCCGGATGTCCCTCAGAACGCCACCCAATCGAGTGGCTGAATTGTTTTTTTCAGAAGCTGTACCGTTAATGACAAATACCGGTGAGTTCGCTGATATCAACACACAAATGTTACGGGCGCCCAAACAAAACAAAAAAAAAAGCAGGAAGACGAAAGACAGGCGTAAGATATACAATTAGTTTCATGCAATAGGTGGCGGAAAAGGTTGCATATTACAGAAAACAACAAATATTTCCACACTTTACTGTAACTTTTTTTTTCATAGCGCGGAAGGCTGCACAAATTGAGTCGGCGTGGAAGTTAGAACAGCAATAACAACAATAGTGTGGTAGTAGAAGCAAGCCCTTCATACTTTACACCCATCTAATGGTTTTCAAAAGGCCTGATATGCTATAAGTGATATAATGCAGCTGATTCCTTCACGAAAACACGAAATGGAGCTTGAAACAGCACACCTGGCTAGATTACCGGTCTCGAGCAGGGCAGGGTCATTTACTCTATAAATGCACATCGACCCTGCCAACCGTTATAAGTTGTAGCAGTTTTTGTAATTATATTGGGCGAAAATTGCGTCATCACAGTGTTTACGTTGCCGTGCTTTCGAAACAATGCTTTCCGAGCATTGTTTTTTTTTTTTCAACGCCGCTTTCCCAGGAGCTCGCACAAACTGTCCGAGTAATCGTGATCGCCCTGACATATGCATGATTATGTTTGAAGATCGCTTCAACCGAAAGTATATGGGACAGAATGGACATGGAGCGCGTGTATCTTCCGGCATTGGAAGTTCAGTTGAGGGGTGGAAGTTCAGCGCTTCTTATTAGCATTCATAATCAAGCTGTACCAGCACGCCCAATCATACATTTAAGTCTCAATTAGCATAAACATTTACACGTCCTATGGCTAATGAGCGCCGTTGCGAATAATTAGAAAAGCTTCATCGTTGAAATAAGATTATTTTTTCACTTTGAATTAATGTGGCATTGCTGAGCCCATTCTGGCGAGACTTTCATAGCTACGTCGAGGAATCGTGCAAACACAGTTTATAACGATATCATTTAGACGTACGATGACGCTCAATGAAAATCCAGAAACCATGAAAAAAAAAAAAAAAAAAAACAGAGCTTAAGATGACATCCTGCCTGTCATTTTCACTTTGACCTTTCTTTAACGTCTGAATCGAACTACGCGGTGGAAGGGGACACGGACAAAGAATTGAAACGAATTATTGCTTAAAAGAAGTATTGTAACTTGTACACGAAAACAATACGACCATTTTTTTATTTGAACAAAAAAAATTGAGAACAAACAAGTAGAACCAACCTTTTGCACCTTGTACAAGGTGCCCAATTTTCTAAGCTGTCTTTGACGTCGATCAATTGCGTTCAATAATGTGCCAACTGCGGCATAGCCTGGTATACTTCCAAACATATGAGCTTTGGGATACCGTCGGCTGTCGCGGCGCGCTGCCGGTGATGTATGTATTTATTTTGATTGCCTGAAACCACACTTTTCGGTGAGTTCTACAGTTACTTGAGTATTATTTATTTATCTATTTATATTGCCACACTCCTTTCTCAAGGTGGTTATCCCCCCTTTCCCCCGATACACGTGTACGTGCTGCCTTGCGTAAACAGCGCCGATTAACTAAGAACCATCGAGATAATCGCAGAACCTTCCTATGGGATTACGCGCACAACGGAAACATTACACATTCTTCTGGAACTTGCGTGGTCGCGATAACGCTGGGACATTCACGGCACGCGTGAGGACGCGCACCACCGTTTATGAGTTTTATCAACGACCGACACTCTGTTCGCCATATCCGTGTACAAGCTTGCGTGCGTTGCTTGCTGTAATCTCACTTTCAGTTTCCCGGCCACAAGCTCGGCCGAATAAAAAGTTTAATCTTTGACACGCCGACTGCTGCATTCGTCCACGTCACGACCACATGATTACATACTTACAATACCGTCGGTCTATATACAGGGTGTCCCACATATGTTGAGCCAAGAATTTGAAAATGAAAGACACTTCAGTGTCTTTCATTTGAACCAAACACGTACTACTCACACTAGCCTGCTGTAGGTACTCAGGGTATTTATTATTTCTCCCCATACTAATTAATTATTAGTGATTATTTATTAAAATTTTATGTTATGGGCTGGAAACCCCAAATATTAACACTGAAATGTAGAGCACTTTCAGAAACCACCGACCAAATTGTTTTCTGTACGATACGTCTAGCGTCGTTATTTTTTTCCGCGTTGTAAAGAAAGTCTATAGGCAGCACTATTGCAGTGCGCTCGCGGCCTGTCACACGGCTTCTTTTGACAATTCGCGGGCTTTCTTTACAACGTGAAAAAAAAAAATAAGAGCGTGAGACGTATCGTACAAGAAACAATTTAGTCGGTGGTTTCTGAAAGTGCTCTCAATCTCAGTGTTAACATATTGAATTTCCAGCCCATAATTAAAAATGGGTAATTAATGATTATTAATTACTAAGGGGAGAAATAAAAAAAAACTAGCCTGAGTACCTACAGACTAGTGCGAGTAGTATGCGCTTGGTGGGCAATATGACCGCAGCAGGTGGGCAATATGTACAGACAATATGAATGTTTATCATGTTAACCAATGAGATCAACTTCATCAGGCTTAGCTAATAATTGAAAAAGGTCGTCATGGAGCCTCTGGACCTTTCATTCTCAGGATAAACCATTTATACAATGCTGCAACGATTCCATGTGGTCGCAAGTTCCTTGCTTTTTTGTCTTGTTACGACTCTCGACGCTACGCTATGAACTTGCGGTATAGATAACCATGTGCAGCCGCCACCCGTGCCGTATTTGAACCTTAGCTAAGGCTACCAGAAAAAGGGTCAGGAAAGAGCGCAGACGACTGCGCTGATTCCGTTTTTTTTTTTATTGCGATAATAACTATACGAACAGTCTCGGCAGTTTCATTGCCGTCGCCATCGTTCACCGCATATGTATACGTATATATGAAAACTCAAGAAAGGAAGAAAAAAAAAAAAAGCCGCCCGCGCTCGGCGCTTAGCTCTTCAGCAATGGGTCGACGCGCGCTTATCCAGGCGTACTTTGCTCCGCGAAAGAGGGAGGGGGGTGTTAGATGCTTGTGCGCTTTTTTTTTCTTTATTAATGCTTGTGCGCTTATCCTTCGGCGGGGAGAATCGTGTACATTCAGCTTTCACCGGAACAGATGCGTTAGTTGCCGGGCCCACAAAGGTCACTTCGCTGCGCTGCACAGGCCCCATTTGCGAAAAAAAAAAAAGCGCGCTTTTCATACACAGCGAAGTATAAGAACTGGGACACTTGTTAGTTTGCACTCATCTGTACTTGTGATTACGTTTCGTGCGTCGTTTTTGTTTAAACAGCGCGTTAAGTGTCGAGCGGTAAACGTTGTTGGCTCGCTCTCGTCTTGTGGATGTTTTCTTGCATCATTTATGCGTGAACAGCGCCCTACACGATTCGATCTGCTCGCCGTTCTCAGCGTTACATTCCAAGTTGTTGCTATCACACTCATTGCTTCGCCTAGCGGCGAAACTGACTATTTTTTTTTGTCTGCTACCTCCTTTCATTCTGGCGCAGTACGTATGCCCGTTCCACATGAACCAACTAGGCGGCAAGAAATTCTTAGTGCCAATGAACGAACACGCGATTTGGCTTCAAGCAGAAGAATACATGACGACAATATTACGAGACGACATGGAACTTAGAGTACGAGATTGACTTAAGTGGGAAGGAAACTCATAGCCGCAAATCAAAACGCATATCAGGTAGACACACAGACGTACATAAGCGACCAGCTCCTCGGAATCCCGAGCGAAGGCACACAGAGTGGCAGCGATGCAGAGTGGCCGTGTACCAGTTGCCACACATGCATATCTTTCAATTAGCGCTGTACACGTGCGCAGAGTTTAAGTTCAGCCGGTTTTTGTATCAAACGCTCGGTAGTTTCCTGCACTGAATGCGGTTTCTGCCCGGCCATGCAGATGATTTTTCTTCAATACAATACTATACGACTGAAGTCAACACCTGAATTGACACGCATCATCGCGTCTGTTCTGTGTATCACTGCGAGCATGCATTTATCAGCATACCATCGCTGAAAACGAATACTTCTGTTGGAGGTATTCGTCTGGAACGTACCTATTATCTTTTCGGCAAAATGGGTAACATTGCTGAAAAGATAATAGGTACGCTCCATTTTGTTGTACTCAGCATAGACAGCAAATGTTACTTCATGCACTTGCAGTTCTGTTGAACAAACTGATGTTCTAAGACATTCATGTGGAAAAGTGCAGCATACTTGATATCCGAAAGTGTTTCATTCCATGATGTCATTGCAATTTTTTTCTTCCAGTAGTTTTTCTGTTTGTGTATATTTGTAGTTATTGTAAAGCTGCTCGTATTACATATAACATGCAATGCGACCTGCAATGCGAAACAGTCAACATTTATTTCTATCGTACATTGTAGGCATTTTTGTATGCATTGTATATGGGTGCTCGGGCACTTCTCAAGGGAATCGACTTTCACTCTTCGCCTACGCATTGTCGCATTATCAAGATGAAAATAAATTTCAACCTTAACTTCAATTTACTAATTCACGTAAAGGACACAGTCGTGGTGCCGGTTCAAACGATTATCCGGTAAGGCCTTCAGAAAAGCACTCATGCTGATTCACGGCCGCTGCCTGAAAATGGAGGTAAAGGAGCGTTTTATTAACAACGCGTTCGCTTTCCATTGCTCTAATTCTCAAACTCCACACGAAAAAAGAGCGGCAAGTCAATACAAAACTACCAGGCCACGAATAATTCGGTCGAACAAAGCCTGTCCATGCAGTTGGATGA